ATGCCGTTGCGGCCGAAGTCCCTGTCGGTGGCGGGGGGGAGCAGGTAGAGGGTCCCCACGGGCCGGTTCTCCTCCACGGTGAGCGTGAGGACGGGCGAGGGGAAGGTGGGGGTGTTGTCGTTGATATCCAGGATGATGACCCGGCCCTCGAAGAGGTCCACCCAGCTCTGTGAGGGGCCGATGACCGACACCTCGAAGTCCAGGAAGCACTCGTTCTCGTCGAAGATCATCTGGCACTGCGGCAGCTTCTCGCGGTCGATGCGCCGCTCCGTGGTGCTCAGCTCCCCGGTCATATTATCGATCTTGAGGTAGTCGGAGCCCGATTCCAGGCTGAATGTCACCTCTCCGGAGCCCGTCACGATGCCCAGGTCGGCAGCCACGTTGCCGATGCGGATGTCGGCGGGTCCCTCCTCGGCCAGCCGGTACCTCAGGAGCTGCTTGGCCGCCGCCAGGCTGACCCAGAGCGGCGGAGGCAGAAGCAGCAAGAAGCAGCAGCAGCAGCAGCAAAGCACAAAGCCAAGGAGAGTCCGCATCTTCCTCATCTTCGCCCCGAGAAGCCCCCTCCGCTTTCTCCCGCCCGACCCCCAATAGACTCCCCCGATGAGCCAACAGCGAGGGTGAGCGTCCGGGTGATCAATTATAAAATCCTTCTCTTCCTGGAAACTTAATGTCTCATGGCTGGTGCAGTTGGTGGTCAAAACCCTGCTGCGGGCTCCTCTGCTGCTCTCCCTGCCTTCCAGTGCCGATATACTTACAGTTCACGGGACAGTGTATTTTGCTTTTTAAAGATTCATCTCGGCAGATAGGATGGGATTTTCCTCCTCCTCCCCCTTCTCTTCCTCCTCCTCTCTGATTTTACTGTAATCACTTTGCAAGGTTTGCAATAAAAGCAGGAGCAGCACTGTGCGATTTGAAGCCCCCCAGGTCGTCGTCTTCGACACTAGAGTTAACTACAATTCACACACACTCTCTCTCTCTTCGCTCTCTCTCTCTCGCTCGCTCGCTCGCTCGTTCAGCCGTTTACGACCAGGGCATTAGCTTTATTCTTCCCCCTCTCTGCACACACAGGAAAAAAAAATGTGATTCGCTTTATTCAAAGGGCTCTTGTCCGGGGAAACTCCAAATCCTCTTAGCAATGGCCAGTTCTTTTAAAAAATAACAATAATTAAAAGGGTAAAGAAAAATAATCAAAAAATCCCAAAAATGTCGGAAGCTGTACAACTGATAGCAGACGAAGCCCGTGTATTACAGAGCAGTCCATAGAATATCCCCTTTGGTTGGCAGAAAAGCACCCAAATCCATCTTCAGAGATCGCCTAAAATGTTCAGCTCTTTCTCCGGAGAGGATTTTTTTAACAACTCTGCGCAAGGTCATCAGTCACAAAGCAACGATACAGAAACTGCAGAAGCCGCTTGCCCACAATCTGCCAGGCTGTAGATGCGAACATACACACAGCACAGTCCCAAGTTTGTTTTTGCATCCGCAGTTCGTGCGTGTGCCTTACCTGCATTTGCACTGCATGTGTTATAGCAGTCTGGATCTGCAGCACGGAGAGCGCCTCACAAATGAGATTGCAGCCTCGCTCCCCCGCGCTCTCCCTCTCGCCTCTTCCTTCCCGTCCCAATGCAGGTAACCAGATCTGAACTTGATCCTCTCAGTTCAAAGGTTAGCAAGAAGGCTGTGTGTCCAAAGGCGATTATTGGTCCCTTGTTAATATACCCGGAGCGGAACAAGATGTAACTGGATCCCCCACGTGAATTAACACAGATTCTGAATTACATCCATATAAGCGGAATGGCAAAGGGGAGGGGAAAAGAGCCGCGAGGCGGTTTCAGAAAAAAAAAAAAAAAAAAAGCAGAGTCCTGCCTGCAAATAAAATGATATCAGTCAGTTGTTTCCTCTGATCTGCACCGCCACGGCGGGTGAAATCTGCAATTGTGTATTCCCTCCTGTGCCTTTCAGAGAAGTGTGGCTCGGATCAGGCGCTTTCACGGCAAAGCGGCTTGTGCTTTAAAAAATGTTGAATGGCAACTGAGAAGCTTCCCACTCGGAAAGGAGGAAAAAAAAAAAGGCAGTAAACCGGCAAGTTTGCCCAAAGTGGTGGGAGCTGCTGAAGCCTCTCGGTAGCTGTTCCCTGACGCTGCAGCAGTAGAGCCGCCTGCGCTACATACACAGAAAGAGAGAGAGGGAGAGAGAGAAAGAGAGAGAGAGGGAGGGAGGAAGGGAGGGAGGAGGAGGAGGGAGGACGAGTCAAGCGCTGCACTCCAGAAAGCCCAGCCTTACCCTCTGCCTCTGCTGCTGCTCTTGCTGCAAGCGGGATAGCTGCTCGTGGCAAAACCCCCGGTCTGTCCTCCGCACCGATCCACACGGCATGCCAGAGTGTGGCTGCTGTTGCCTTCCCTAAGCCGCGATCGGTAGTGATTATCTGCCACCCTTTCCCTGCTCACCTCCGCTTTACGCTGTGAACCAAGCAACGTTTTTTTTTTTTTTTTTTTTTTTTTTTTAGAAAATGTTTATTCTCCTTTCCTTTAGGCAGAGCGGGTGCACGGTCGGGGCTCTGCGTTTTGCGGAATCACGCTGGTAAGACAAGCCGCTTCGCACAGATTCCCACCTCTCCCTGCCCTGTCGGTTCTTCTGTGAAATAGCTGCAGTCACTGGAACTGGATAAAACTCCAGGGAGAAAGGGGGGCTGCTTTAGAGCTCAGGCTCGCGTCCTGTTTCCCAGTGCTGTGCGAGCCTTTGGGGTTTTGTGTTCATGTTCTTCCTATTACTATCATTAGAATGTGTCTTCTCAGCAGTATTTGTGGGTTTCCTAGGAGAAAAGGAAAAAAAATCCTCAGAAAAGGAGGCTAGGGAGGGGGCGAGAGGTTTAGGCGAATAAACACATGTAAGAAGTAACAGATTTATTTCCGCACAGAGGCTTGCTGCCTCGATGATTGCTAAAATGTAGCGTCACCTATCTGGGTAAGTGGGAAATAAACTTTGACGCTAAAAACTCTCCGCTCAACTTTGTTTATTCTAGCGTCCCTAGCTGGCGTCTCCTTTTGACTTTGTGCCGCTCAGTCGCCCGCGGCCCCGCTCGAAGTGATGCCCGGTGCCCCCGCTCCCCTTCCCGCCCGGCGCGCACGGGAAGCGGCTCGGCGGGGAGCGCGGGCTCCCCACGCGTGTGAAACACTCAAATGGCTTCTTCTTGAAACAGGCTAATGGCTTTTTTTCTTTTCCTCGCGGTGGGGACATATTTGAGCGAGGGCGACACTGGGGAGGCTCAGAGCGGCGGGCACCGCGCGCCCCTGTGACGCGGGGGCGCAG